TTACCGGACGACAAAACCATTAAAGGATTGAAAGACGGGGATACCTACACATATTTGGGCATATTAGAAGCAAATAGCATTAAGTATATTGGGCATATTAGAAGCAAATAGCATTAAGTACAAAGAGATGAAAGAAATAGTAACTAAAGAATACAATAGGAAGGTACGTAAGATTCTTGAAACGAAACTAAGCGGAAACAACACCATCAAAGCGATTAATAATTGGGTTATATATCTGTTGAGATACTCTGCTGCATTCCTAGAATGGAGAAAGGCTGAAATACAAGATTTAGATAGAAAGACTAGGAAACTACATAATGGCCTCCATCCAAAGAGTAACGTGGATCGTATTTACATATCGAGAGTGGAAGGTGAAAGAGGATTTAGTGACGTAGCCAGGATTTTGAAAGGGGAGAGCCGTTATGCGAGGTACGTAGGACCCTGTGTGTAGGGGGGGGGGGGGTCCTGCGAAGCCCCTTGGAAAGTAACACGCTCTGAAGGTTTTTAGGGCTGTTTTGAGATGATAAAGTGAAATATCATCATAAATAATGTTAGTAAGCCTAACAATAATTATATTTTAAAAAAAACTCAACAGTGGTGGATCCAGCAATAGAGAGGTGACCCAGGGAGGGACTTATACAGATTGAGGAACCACCCGACCTCAGCCCCACCATGGTTGGGACTGAGGTAAGAACATTTATGATTAGGGCACCTCTAGTTTGCCGGAAATTAAACTCTCAGACATAAATTTGGATAGGGGCCTCTAATTTTTTTTCCATTATAAAAAATAAGGGAGAGGGGCCACGGGATACACCACTGCTCAAAACATTCTTTATCCAAAATAGTCATAATCACGAAAAATGGGCATGTAATACCAGATCACATCCTAAAAACAAATGTATCCATTCTCGCCTCATCAGCAGTCACTAAGGCATACTCTGAGTCAGGTGTCGACTCGATGGAGTTTTATCAGGGATTTATCCATCCAATTACCATCAAGCCTCTATACCCAAACATATAAGTATTTCTCTGTTTGGAGTTTCTGTAGATATTATTCTCCTAAAGACGATTGAAGCAACTACGAAGCAACTATGAAGCAACGTCGAGACTTTCTCAACTACACAGTTCTTTTCAGAACTACTTACGTGGTGTACCGCAAGTTTCAACATATATAATATTACTTCGCCATGCAACCCATTAAACAATACTTCGATGGAGTTTAATACCATACCCAGGAAGGCCGCAATCTGTTTTGAAAGGTAGAGGTGGGGTTTGGGGATATTTCGTGAGTCGACACCCACATCAAACACACAATTGTTGGGGCTGAGTTGCGAACATTTGAGGGAATAGTACCTCTAGATGACCAGAACATGACATTTTTAGTAAAATTCATCATAATCACATCACCATTATATATACTCAAAATGAAGTGCCAACAAATTTCTCATGATCTTTTATCAGTGATTTTCTACAACCAGAGATCTTATTAATATTTATGATGTACCATAAAAACTAAAACTTAAAAACATTGTTATTGAGTATTTACCACCATAGTTGGGGCTGAGGTGAGAAAATTTGAGGAAATAGTACCTCTAGATGGCCAGAAATGACACTTACATATAGTAAAATTCATCATCAACAAATTTCTTATGATCTTTTATCAGGGATCTACTTAATCTCCAAGATAACTTAGGCCTAACTATTACTAAGCTTAAACTATACTGTAATAATTGTGATCAACAAATCACAGCCTACTTTTTCGCCTTTAGCACAATTTTCTTCACTTTTTAATATTATTATTTTTATTAACTATTATCACTATCATCATCATCATCGTCATCATCATAATTATTATTATTATTATTATTACTACTAGTAGTACTGTAGCATTAAAACAAAACTTTATAGAGCTTGCAAAAAAATAAAAACCAAACTGAAATACAGTACAATATCACATTTCTGTATCTGAAAATCTCGGCCTGGGATTTATGGATTGAAGATTTTTAAAAATCACGCTTAGGCCTGTTATTATAGTATGTCTATCTATGTATAACGTGTGCTGATGCATATTTACATAGATTAGAAGTATTCATTTTGAGTGATCCCTGGAAGAAAATTGTATTGACTATAGCAAGAAGAAGCTTTAAAATTTTAACACTGTGTACAAAAAGGTGGGGGGGGGGGGGCGGCTCCCACGGCTGTGCCCTCCCCCCCCCCCCACCCCTGTATACGTTCCTGAGAGGATTAATCATTGTTGAAGACTGTGTAGAACTTGCTATCTTGGGGTTGGAAAGATACATCAGTATTTGTGATGAAAGACTGATAAATTCTACCTGAAAAATCTGCACCAGATCTAGCAACACTGAAACAGAGAATGACTATAAGAAAAGAAAGGAAATTGGAAGAAATGGAGAGAAAAGGTTATGCGGGGGCAATTTATGCGATAGACGGAAGAGGTGAGAGGGAATGATTCCTGGTTATGGTTAAAGAAAGGAAACATAAAAAGGAAGACTGAGAGCCTTTAGGCAGCACAGGAACAAGCACTTGCAAAAAACCTTATGAAAGCTAGAGTATACAAACTCCAAGAAGAAAGTAAATATCGAATGTGTAGGCAGGTGGATGAAAGTATCAACCATATTGTGAGCAAATGCCCAAAATTGGCACAAAAAGAATATAAAAGAAGGCATGACTGGGTTGGAAAGAAAATTCATTGGGGAGTTTGTAGAGAGAAAGGCTTTGTTGCCAATCAAAAATGGTACGAACATGTACCCGAGCCTGTGCTAAAGAATGATGAATGTAAAGTATTATGCGACTTTACGATACAGACTGATCATATAATAGAGGCAAGAAGACCAGATATGATTGTAGTTGAAAAGAAAAGTAAACGCTGCCAAATCAAGTTGTTTGAATGAATCTGCCACTTCGAAAAACGACGTCATGTTCGTTCTGTTCATGCACACGATAATCCACGGATATAACCACACCCCCCCCCCCCATCCTCATCAATGTTTAAAAAAATTAGAGTAATAATCTAATAATTTTTTCCATGTGCCCTTAGAAATCATTGGAAGTTATTGTATGGATTTGAATCTTTTATGAAAATAACACACAAAAAAGAAAAATAAATCAAAATCACGGTTAAGGGTAGGAATTAACAAGATTGGGTTATACGAAGTAACAACAGTAGACCATATTCATTGTATGGATTCAAGGGAGAACATTCTGGGTTTATGTTAGGTGTATTGCTTAAAAGGTGTAAAAACGTAAATTGATTGAATTATTCTTATTTTTTGACTACTGTAGTTACTGTGATACAATGAAACAAATGAGGTGTCCTAATTAATAATAATAATAAATAATAATAGGGGTCGAAAATAAAAATTATGTGATTTGACCATTTGGCAAACTCAAAAAGTGTCATCACTGTCTCCTTAAAAGAAGTACCGTAGTGTTAATAGATACATTTTCCCTTGTTTCACAGATACTCGTATATATTTATATATTATATTTATATTATATTATCGCTGCGGTACACCACGTAGATAGTTATTTGCTGAGAATGTCTCGACGTTTCGATTGAGTTGCTTTAATCGCCTTCAGGAGAATAATATCTGCAGAGAATCCAAACAGGGAAATATTTATATGTTTGGATAGTGATACTTGCTGCTGATTAGTGGAAAATTAAACAATAACTGTATAGTTATAACATTAGGCCTACCGCAAGAAGATTGTGTCTCTATTATAATCGTAATTAATATACATTTAATTTCATTTATGTTGCCTCACTAAAATACATAAAAACAACAACCGGTTACAATACAACATAGTAAAAGTATAAAATATCTAAAACAGACCGAGACAGGATTCCTAAAAGTGAACCAAATCACTATCAAGTATATATCTGTCTCTTATACACATCTAGATGTGTATAAGAGACAGGAAATATATTCTGTATATGGTATTGACAATGATTATGACAATCATATACTGTAAATAGAGCTAATTGTATAAGTTTTGGTGATAAAGACTATTTTAACTATGTTTGAGAAATGGTGACCATACAAAGTAATTAATAAGTAGATCATTTAATTAGTAACTCTACAAAAGGAATTGAGAATAGCGTTCATTCTTTGGATGCTAGGCATACCGAATGGAAATTGATTGGCCAACGTGCTGTTGTCCCGCTGTTAGCTACTAGGTCATCGCCGATATTGCCTAAAGACTGAATTTATTGTTGATTATGAATGTAAATCAGGAGTGGGGGAGCAGGGGGGCAGGGTGGGTGGACAAAAATAGACGTAAAGATCAAGGCTGATTTATTATCCCCGTGCTTATAAATAGCCCTGTGCTAAATTCTCTATTTTTTATGATTTTCTTTTTATTCTGCATGGATTACATCACAATTTAACTCTCAAAAATGTTACCTAAAATTATTTATGTTAAGTGAATTAGTGGGCCACGTTCATACAACTCACCTCTTTCCCAGTATATTATTGTGTCGTTAACGATAGACGGATATCATTCAGTAGGATTTTAAATAGCCATAGGCCTACTAATCATTTCGCTATGTCAGGACTCACTAAATTAGGTTACAGCTACTGTGTAGTGAGTGTGTCACCCAAACAACCACCCGTAATCACAGGTACTGATATCAGCACAAACATACAAACGTTTTCTGCATGGAGGGTGGGGAAGCAAAATTCGTTGAGGAGGGAAAGAATCTATATAATTTTTACAGAATGCGACTACCTAAAATCGATTAAATAAGCCTTTCAAATCCCTAAATTATCGATGCTTCCAGGGACTATATGCCGCCCATTGAACTTCTTTGAAGGGTTCTGTGTTGCCCTGGCCCCGCATAAGACTACCTCTCGTCATGGGACACCGGACCCCAGTCGGGCACATTGAGTTATACAAGAAACACACGTGGATTAAATTATCCCTCTAATAAAGCTCGGCTCTGAAAGTGGTCGTCACAAAAGTTCACTTTTTCCTCTTTTTTATTAATAAACTGTATAGAAATAGGGCCCTATTAATCTTAGGTCTAACTACCCAATATTACATACAGGCACACAAAGATGCTTTGCAATCTCATTACTGGAGTATGTAAAAAGATAACGACGTGTTGTAAACCTCATTTGTAAAACACAATGATATCGATATGTAAGACTATCTACAGAACAGTTTGACCGCTACACGCGCCGAATGTCAACAACGCCTGTCTGGCACACTCCCTTAGGATGCCTGACGAATATGGCTGGCTATAAATGCCAGCTGCTGCGCGTATTTCGATGACGGAGAGAAAATAAATACTTCGTTGTCATTAATCTAACCTAAAGATTTATATACACGCGCTGATGTGAGTAATGGTGATATTATTTAGGCTTACATAGAGCATTGGTATTCAATTTTGGTATCCATGATGATTTACCAACATCAGAAGAAGATCAGTAGTAGCACTACAACAGCAATTGCTACTGTATAGGAAATGATCGCCGTATGTTTTCTTTTAGCATCATATTCAGTAAGCAACATTTAATTCAATCGTTCATCCTCTACTGAGCACCATCTCTGTCTGGCGAGTCATATGCCTCTACTTTTCCCACGGGCTAGATCTTGAATCGCGCTCCCAAATGTATTCAAAAAAGGTGTATCCGCATTTCAACTTACTCATGTACCAATTAAAATTGGACCGACAGTACAATTTCTGTACTTAAACTTCCGAACTCGAATGACGAAGGACAACTCTGTGAAAACAAACAAATCAGTGAGTGTTTATGTGGACTTGTAATTGCGCGTGACCGATTAGATGGACAATTTGCAAACCAAGACATAAACAGGTTTAACTATTTATCGACTATGGCCTCAGAACACGAGGAGGATTATAGTGTTCTTAAACATCCACTTTGTCGCAGTGCTATCAAATATGCTATAGTGAACACAGGATTATTTGTGGTGACTTGTCTATACGCTGTAATGGGTGCTGCTGTGTTTAAATCTATCGAAGGTCCTGTTGAAAAAGAAGCACATGAAACGTTTGTTGACATGAAGAAGATTCGTAGGGATGATCTTATCAATATCCTAACGGATCCAGCAACTATTACTTCGCGCGATGCATTGACAGAAATGCTGGATTCATATGAAAAAGACATTGAAGAAATATCAGGATGTACACTTCTACCTGAAGCCCAATTTGAACCAGAATGGACATTTACAGGATCCCTCTTTTTCTCAGTTGTTGTCATGACAACAATAGGTAAATAATCTGACTCCTTTTTAAACACTGAGGTTTGGTAAGTAGCCACAGGACAATATACAGTATTTCGCCTGCATAAAATACAAACATACAATAGGACAGTATTATTATATATCAATATATTATTAAGAAGATTGTATAGGTTAATTTTGCCATACCTGACGTGGAAATGTACTGAATACTCAGTACGTGTGAAAACAATTGCGAAAAAAAGTCGCAGGTTGTCCTCGGGTAGGACTCGAACCCACGATCTCCAGATCACTAGCCTGACATCATACCTCTAGACCACCGAGTTTGCGCCTGATGGCCATGGTTGAATTCGGGTCCAAGTAAGCATTGGGTACTGCAATGCTGATAGTAATTGTTATTGTCGTGATGGAATAGACAATAACTGGATTTGCGTCAGGAGAATCAAGTATAGGTTAATTTTGCCCTACCTAACGTGGAAATGTACTGAATACTCAATACGTGTGAAAACACTAGTAAATCCAGTTATTTGGTCTCAAATTTAACCCTGGCCATCAGGCGCAAGCTCGGTGGTCTAGAGCTATGATGGCAGGCTATAGTGATCTGAAGATCGTTGGTTCGAATCCCACCTGAGAACAACTTCAACATTTAAAAATTATTTAAAATTTTGTATTTTCAACATTATGTAGTAATAATACTTTATTGAAAAAACTACGCCTTTCCATCGGCGGCATACGCCATGCTTAGGATAGTGACGGTGGATTGGATTGGATTGTAAACACCAAGGATAGCCTTATTTCCAATGGGGTCCTTCTGGTGGTGATTGGGCAGTACACTGGGAGGCAATCCGCTCAATCCCGAAGAATGTACTGCGTTCTTTAACGTACGTACACATGGGCCATAAATGCACACGGGACCAAGGGCTTAAACGTCTCATCCGAAAGACGGTGCGCTATTGTAACTTGTATTTCAGCCCAGCTGAAACACAAGGAGAGGCAGCGATGTGAATTAAACCGGGGACCTAGAGATCTCCATGGTCCAATGCACATAGAGTGTCTACCACAAGATTAGCCAACTGAGCTAATTATGCGTTCATAAAAAGAAATAGGTCTATTTAAAACAAATATGTATAGTAACACCGGCAATGTACAAGACGTGAAATTAAAAGGATTCTTAAAAGTCGATAAATCTTCATGAACAGTAACATGTAAAAAAATGTACTCATTAGGCCAAGTCTTAATTTTACTATTATAACAACATTTCTCTGATTTTTTTTCAATTTTAAAGTACGATATAAGATAGGCCTACAATTTCGTTCATACAAATAAATTAATGTACATGTTCTGATTAATTAATTAGTTGCCAGTTTAGTTGTCGGAAATTCGACTGGATGCAATTTAACTTCATATTCAGAATAAACTTAGCTACACTTAGCTAAATCTAACTTGTTCATTGTATTTGATTGTTGCGATTTTATCCCCAATTGGTAAAAATTTTGTTTGAAATATTTTGATTATCTTATAATAAATACATTATTTTACTGATTGCTTTTTACTGTACTTAAGTTGTCTTTTGATGAATTCCTTGTGACTAATTGTGACAATTTCCACCCTTGGTATAATTTTGAATAAATGTATTAACAAATATGTAAAAGATGCATAGGGCAACAAACAAACTTTTTAAATGACGCTGGTAATAATTTTAAGTTTATATTTTCTTTTTCTTTCTTGACATGATTTTATGCATAGCCATATACTTCTGTAGGCCTAGTGTATTTTATGTGTATGCATTATAGACATTCAGTATAGTGTACAAGGGTTACAAGGAAGAAATTATGTTCGGTGACGATCCAGTTGTACATTTGAGGGTCATCATAAATAATTTTAAGACATAAAGGTATAAGGTTGAAATTGTTAGCGAAAATCTTTATAGAACAGTGAACTACTACAGTTTTAGTAATTGCTGTAGATTATTAATTTGGTAGGCATAGTTAATTTATTACTAAGTGATCTTATTATTTGAATTAATATTTTTTTTAATGTATAGGGTTTGGTTTCCCAACCCCGATATCTGGGTTTCAATCCCTCGCTGTGCATTTCACTTGTGTCCTTCAGCACATGTGCCTAATCTATTGGTTAGAATGCCAAAATGCGCTGATTAGTGTTGTGTTGTGTGTCTGTCGTGTAGAGGAACCGATCCACGGTACCGGCATATGCCGATTCTCAATAATTAATTTTACATTTAAATGATTGTGTCTGCCTCTCTCAACGACAACCCTGCAGTCTTCCCCGGAGAGCTGATTTTTTGTTCCTACTAAATAATAATAATAATAATAATAATAATAATAATAATAATAATAATAATAATAATAATAATAATAATAATAATAGTAATAATAATAATAATAATAATAATAATAATAATAATAATTATAATAATTATAATAATAATAATTATAATAATAATAATTATATTAATTATAATAATAATAATAGTAACAATAACAATAACAATAATAATAATAATAATAATAATAATAATAATAATAATAATAGTGTAGTTTTATATAGCGCACATATTCATCGAATGAAACATGCTCAGGGCACTTATATGTAGACTAGGGCTCGGCCATTCAGCAATCACCAGAGAAAATGAAAATGTGAAAGTCATAGAGGCCTTAGCATGATACGTTATATAATTCTATTAATATTATTATTAAAACAATGGGTACGCTTATACTAACACTAGACGAACAGTTTCTTTTGTGAAAAACAATTATTAAGTAGCAGTGGAAATACATATATGCTGATAAATTTTCTCCTCTTGACCTTTCGCCATTATAGCTCTTTTAAAATACCTTAGAATGCTGCATTGATGTTCTACTTATCGTGTCTATTGTTAAGTATTCATTTTCGAATATCTATTTCCCCTCCGCGTAATGCAGTTGATTGTATTTGTATCCTGATAGATTTTTGCACCGGTAATTAAATGAATCTACTCAGCAGTAGACACACGCTAACACTGACGATGAAGAAATTCTAATATCACAGTTTTTTTTATTTTTTGTTTTATTTTGTTTTTTTAATTGTTTTTGTTTTTGTTTTTTTTTTCGTTCGCTCCCCGGTGATTCGGGAAATTCGTTAATAACACTGTTAAACTGATGGAAACAATACACTTTTTACTGAAAATATATTTTTAATGTTTATATAACTCATGATATACCACTGTTTAACATCACAGGTCTCCCATGTCTAATGGCGTGATACTCGCCTTTATAGCGGTAGGTTACAGGTTCATACAGAGTCCTTCCTCAGTGGTGAGGTGAATGAGTGAGGGTAGAACAAGCCAGATAGTATAGAGGAAGGTCAGGCATGAACGGTTAGAAACAATAAGCTAAGTGAGGTAGGCTAGAGGTATATGGAGGCAGTGAAAGTGAATAAACAACATGAACCAAGAGTGAACAGAAGCCAACAATATAACGCTGTATGAATAAGCAAAATTATTTATTGATGAAATTTGGAATTACATTGGATTAATTTAGTGTACTAAGAAAACGTCCTTAAT